AGTGTGCAGGCCCTGCCACAGCTCCACAGGTGCACACCTCACCTGGTAGTGCTGTGTGCTTCAGGAATGTCCCTTGACAATTGTTCAAAGATGAATTTTGGAGACTACCCATCAGGGCCCTGATGAAATACCTGGGAAAGGGATAAAACACTAATGTCCATAGAAAGGGGATGGGCTTCACCCATCCTGGCCCACATGGGTGAAGGGAGCTGAGCAGCTGCTAAAGTGGGTGCAGGGGTCTCAGATAACGACCTCAGGGGTCCTCTCACGTGAGATGGGTGGAAAAACTGTCTCCATCCAGGATCCCATCAGTTAGACCACATATATGTGATATCAACATGTAGACTGTTTATAGAGAAAATGGCATGAAACTGTATACTGTATATAGAGAACCCTAAAGATTCTACCAAAAACTGCTAGTACTGATAACTGTATTTAGTAAAGTAGCAGGATCCATAATAAATATCCAAAAATCAGTTGCATTTATATACACCAATAATTAACTATCAGAAAGGGAAAAGAAGAAAATAATTCCATTTAGAATGGAATCAAAATAAAATAAATAAATTACCCTGAAATAAATTTTAAAAAGCATGAAAGCACCTATACTTCAAAAATTATAAGACACTGAAGAAAGAAATTGAAGAAGGATACGTATAAATGGAAGCATATACTGTGTTCATGGATTGGAAGAATTATTATCATTAAAATGTCCATACTACCCAAAGCAATTTATAGATTCAACACAATTCCTATGACGATACCAATGGTGTACTTCACAGAACTGGAACAAATATTCCAGAAATGTATATGAAACTACAAAGATACCAAATACTCATAGCAACTTTGGAAAGAGGTATCATACTACGTGATGTCAAACTATACTACAAGGCCATAGTAATCACACAGCATGGCACTTGCATAAAACAGACATATAAGTCCATGAATCAAAATAGAGAGCCCGGAAATAAACCCACATCTTTATGATGAGTTAATATTTGACAAAGGAGGCAAGGACATATAGTGGTGTAAATACAGTCTATTCAATAAATTGAATAATTTGGACAGAAAACTGCAAAAACAATGAAACTAGACTGCCTTCTCACACCATACACAAGAATAAACTAAAAATGAATAAATGACTTAAATGATAAACTGTAAGCCACAAACATCCTAGAAGAAAATGTAGGCAGTAAGATCTTGGATATTTCTCATAGCAATATGTTTTTCTGATATGTCTCCTTAGGCAAGGGGAACAAAAGATAAAATAAACTAATGGGACTTAATTAAAGTAAAAAGTTTTTGCACAGGAAAGGTAACCATCAACAAAATGAAAAGACAACCCACTGTATGGGAGAACATATGCCCATGATACATCTGATAAGGAGTTAGCATCCAAAATTAATACAGAACTCAACACCAATAAAACAAACAATCCATTTAAGATACAGGTAAATGACCTGAATAAACACTTCTCCAAAGAGGACATAGAGGTGGCCAATAGACACATGAAAAGATGCTCAGTGTCACTAATCATCAGAGAAACACCAATTAATACCACAGTCAGATATCACCTCACACTTGTCAGAATGACTATCATCAATAACTCCTCAAATGACAAATGTTGAGAAGAATGTGGAGAAAAGAGAATTCTTGTACACTGTTGGTAAGAATGCAGACTGGTGCAGCCACTGTGACAAATGGTATGGAGTTTCTTCAAAATATTAAAAATGGAACTCCCATTTGATCCAGTGAATCCACGTCTGGCAATATATCCTAAGAAACCATAATAGTCTTTATTAGCAAGATTTGCCCTTGTCATTTTCTGCTTCCCACTCCTCTTAGGATGAAGCCCAGTCCTTTTATTGTGGCCACGTGTGCTCTGGTCCCTGCCTACTTCTGCTCATGGACCACCACATTTTCCTTTCTTTCCTGCATCCAGCCATATCAGTCTTTGTCAGTTCCCACAAAGGTCCTATGCAGTTACCTATTCCTCTCATTGCAGAGGTATTCTGCTTCTCTTCCTTTAGCTTTTCATCTGTAACTTATATGTTGATTCAGCTTTGTCACTTGAGGGCACCTCTCTCAGTAATACACATGAGATCAAAGCTGCCATATTCTCCCTTCACACCACAGACTGTAGTTGTGCAGTTGTGTGATCATTCAGCTCTTTTTCTAAATATTTCTCCTGTTCTTTCATTTGGGGCATGTTTCTTTGTCTCCACATTTTGGCTGCCACTTGGTATTTCTTTCTATGTATTGGGTAGATCTGCTATTACTCCCAGTCACAGGGTAACCTTATGTAGTACATGTTCTGGGGGACCTTGTGGTACAGTCTCCTTGATAACCGGTGTTGGGTGCTCCAGGAAAGTCCTTTCTGTGGCCTAGGGTGGGCCCTCCTGTTGTACTTGAGTCTTGATTGCTTTTAGCCCATCTGTGTGTGAGTTTGAGCATTAGGCTGGCTTACCCTGAGGATTGAACATGACCACAGTGTACGAGGAGCTGTGCAGATGCTGACCACACAGAACACAATTCGCCTCAGCATAGTCTGGTGCCTGAGAAGATCTCCCTTTGGATATGCCACCTGTGAAGCAAATTGGGTCATGCTCTGATATATTGTCTAAAGCTGGCCACTGGGTGAGTAGGTCCTGGGGCCTCCTGGGCGGGACTCTGGTGCAGGTGAATATCAGACGCTTCCTGTGACATGCCCTGGGCTACCTGTTTGGAGCTACAGAATGATCCTTGGTTTGTGACTTCCTCTGCCAGGCCTGGGTGTGTGTAGGAAGAATCAAGCTGCACAGAAAGGGTGGCTTTTTTAGCGCTGTGCCCTGGGCTTGTCAGCAATGCTCCCATGGCCCCTAGGATCTCCTTCGCCTTCTTTGCCTGTGGGCTGCCAACTCACCTCAGTCACTGAAAGAGCCTCTGGCAGTAGTGGAGTTGCATGAGGAAAGTTCTCACTGAGTCACCAGAGAGGGGCAAGAGGTGTTCATCTGGTCTATGTAGGTTCAATCCTGGTGCCAGTGCAGGGTCTAAATGCCCCAGCATATACCACATCTAGCTGCCACCTGTGGGGTGCTTTCACACCTTTGTGGTGGGGCTGGGAGGGTCTCAGGTAGCTGTCAGGGTGAGGCCATTAGAGTTTATCAGGCCCCAAAAGACCAACATTTAGCCATTGGAAGGAAGGCTCTGCCCTGCTTGAGCGTGTGAGGGGAAAACGTCCTGTCCTAGAGCCACACAACTTAGTCTTCCCAGATTCTGACAGCAGCCCAATCTCAGCAGGGCAGGACCACTGGAAGTCGGGAGAGGTGGAGGTGCCCATCTGGTTTAGGAGATGGTTGGAGGAGTGGCCCCACCCCAGAGCCATACGACCCAGTGTGTCCTGGATTCTGCCCAGACCTGGGCAGGGTAGAGCCATCAAGTGTTGAGAGGGTGAAACCACCTGGAATTCAGAGAGTGGGCCTAGGACAGTGATGGTGAACCTATGACCCGTGACCTCTGACACTCGAACTCATTCTTTTGGTGGATTTTTCTTTGTTAAATGGCATTTAAATATATAAAATAAATATCAAAAGTATAAGTCTTTGTTTTACTATGGTTGCAAATATCAAAAAATTTCTATATTTGACATGGCACCAGGGTTAAGTTAGGGTTTTTCAAAATGCTGACATGCCGAGCTCAAAAGGTTCGCCATCACTGGCCGAGGAGATCTCCCATGAGTGTGAGGCACCAGTCAGTTTCACAGTGAAGTTGGGTGAATGGCCTCCCACTCCAAAGCCATACAATTCATTCAGAGAGACCCCTGATCTGCCAAGCCCTCTCCCCTCCATCCAGGCAGCGGACTCCTCAGCAGGCAGAAGCTTCACAGGGTGGGTCGCAGGGAGTCCAGAAGTTGGGCCATTGCATTCCCCCAGGCTGATGCTGTAAAGAGGAGAGTGATCTACACAAGAAAGATGGTGTTTACAGTGTGGGAGAGGGGCTTAACACAGGGGTCCTGAAAGCTCTCCCTTCAGCTCTCTCCCCAGAGCCACAAACCCTAGTCTTTCCTCATGCAACTCTAGTCCACTCTGCCCTCTCTCTGCCCGAACCCAGGGTAAGTGGCTGCCAATGAGATTTTGTGTTTTGGCCCTTTAAGAGAGTGCCTGTGTCCCTAGAAGACTCTTGCCTCCCCCTGATGGACAGAATTCTTGCTGATTTTCACAGCCAAATGTTACCTGGTGCACTAGACCTGGGAGCCCAGCTTGGGTTTGAGACCCTATGCTTCTCAGGGGGAAACTTTGCAGCTGACATATCCCTCCAGAATCTCAGCCAAGTTTTGTGGGAGAAAGGCCAGCACATTCCACATTTTAGCCCTTCCTACCAGTCTCAATGTAGCTTCTCCTGTAATTCCTTAGTTATAAGACTTCTCTTTCAGCTACTCTTCAGTTGGTTATTCAGGTTGATTGCTTTTTATTGTAGTTGTAATACCAGTTTGGTCCCGGGAGCAATGAGTGTAGCTTCCACCTACTCTGCCATCATCATGGATCTCCCACACTTTTTAAATAGTCCCAAGGCACAATGTTCTACATAACAGCATAAAAGCAGCAATTACAACATTCTGACACCTTTCCTTTTCTATTACCTCCAGCTAATATGCTTTGTAGAATCAGAATCAGAATCATGGTTCTTGATTCTTCCCTAACAGCTGGAAATAAATGTTCTTTTATGTTGTTCTGCCCATTCCTCATAAAAATCAGCAGGTAAATATCACACCTGTTTTTGGTTTTTGCAGCCCAAAACAATTCACCAAAGAGACAAAGTTTTAAAAAGTGAAAACTGTACACTTCTATGAAAACATTAATGCAAAATGTTTTTCTGCTGGACTGGCTGGAATGGAGCCTAATGTAAAAAGAGCATAACTCTATTACTCAATGACGGTCACTGGGTACAATGCACTTTCTTGAAATAGGTTTAAGAAGCTAATAGAATGAGCTTATTATAATTAGGGTTGATGGGATCAACAGGTGAGTTTGACACAATAAACCACCTCATTGAGTTAGGCTCTGCAGGCTGCTTATCATGTCTACTTGGGCTTTGGGTTGAGCATCCCAGCCCAGAGCATGGCGGCCATGCTAAAAGCCATTAATTACCTGCAATTTCCTGGAAGATTATTTGTATTACATAGTTCCATTTGATTAGGGGATGGAGCCCCTATTCCTGATTATTTTTAATGAATCAGGAAGCATTATGTAAATAACTGTGTTAAAAGGGCTGGCAGGGATAGAGATGTATATGCATAATAGCATCTGGCCTCATAGAGTCAAGTTGAAGAAAGAAAACTAATCAATTTATAGCAATGAGAAAACCATTGATTAATCGCCTCAGATACTGGTTTTAAATACAATAGCCATGCATAGAAAAATGGTAATGAGGAACTGCCTCAGAGAAAAAGTAAAATTTGAGCTAGACATTGCACACCGTGGAAATTGAATATTCTAGGTGAAATACAGGATGAGCAAAGGTAAGAAGGTGCAAATAGCATAGCACATAAAGAATTTAGGGGGAAATGGTACCACATGCCTAGTGCAATTTATGAGGTAACAGGAAGTTAGTTTGGGTTGGGGAAGGTGGGAATGAGGATTCAGGTGACCTGGGATGATCACTTAGGGGTGGGAAATGGGAATAACATAATGCAAGTGGAGACTTAAAGAAGATGGGTCGAAAGGTAAAGTCCATAAAGATAGAAAAGAAGGTAAGCAGTGACTAGAGTCTCAACTTGGGATAGCATCACCAGAATAAAAACAATAGAAAATCAAATACATATTTTAAGGAACTAACAATAAGACTTTAATTCAGTAAGATAAACATTTATTGAATATATCCAAGTATGAAGCGCTATAAAACGCATTGCAAAAAAAAACCTTAACATAAACAAGGCTGTGTCTCATTAGTTTAAAATCTAAAATGGAGGTTACAGGTATATTGCAGTGAGTACAGTACTGAGCCAGATAGGTCCATACATGCTTCTTGGAAAAGTTCTAAAGGTATTCAGAAGGGAAAGATATTTATTTTATCTGGCTAATTAGGCAAGGTTTCATAAAGGCTCACTAAACTATGAAAAATAAGATCAGGAAAAGCTAGAAACATTATGGACATGGCATACTTGAGAAATGGAGGCATAATTGGAAAATAGGTTATAAGACTGGTTCAGGGATGAGGATAAGACAAGAAAATGTGGGAGGCACAAAATTATGGAAGGTCTAATCTTAGGAGAAAATTTAAACTTTATCAGGAAGACAATGGGGAGTGATAAACGTTTTTTGAGCAGAGAAATTTTTTGATGAAATTTTTGCATGGTAATAATGACCTTGACTATGCATCTGAGATGGATTGTGAGAAGAACTTGGAGGAGAGCTTGGTGATGAGGAGGTCAGTTTGAAGCAAAGTTAACTGGGAAGTATAAAAATAGTCACAATGAATAAAACAATTTAAGAATTCTTGGAGAAGCAAGATGGCGGCGATATAGGCAGATGCGTCCCAGGTCTTGTCCCAGAGCAAATGGAGTAAGCAGCTGAAACTAATAACACCCACCATGAATTGGAACATGGATTAGAAAACCTATTCGAAGAAATAATATCAGAAAACTTCCCTGAGGTGGGGAAGAAAAAAGTCACACAAGCCCAGAGAGTCCCAAACAAGGTGAATCCGAAAAGACCCACACCAAGACACATCATAATTACCATGGCAAATGTTCAGGACAAAGAGAGAATCTTACAGGCTGCAAGAGAGAGACGGAAAGTTACATACAAGGGATCTCCCATTAGATTATCAAATGATTTCTCAACAGAAACACATCAGGCCAGAAAAGAATGGACAGAAATCTACAAAGTGATGCAAAGCAAAGGACTGAATCCAAGAATACTCTATCCAGCAAGGCTATCATTCAAAATTGAAGGGGAAATAAGAAGCTTCACAGACAAAAAAAGGCTAAGGGAGTTTATCACCACCAAGCCAGCCATGCAAGAAATGCTAAAGGGACTGGTGTAAAAAGAAGAAATAACAAGCTCAGAAAGAAAACAGCCACACACACAAAAAAAGAAATGGCTACAAACAAGTACCTTTCAATAATAACTTTAAATGTAAACGGACTAAATGCTCCAACCAAAAGACATCGAGTGGCTGAATGGATAAAAAAACATGACCCATACATCTGCTGTCTACAAGAGACCCACCTCATTAGAAGGGACTCACACAGACTGAAAGTGAAGGGATGGAAAAATATCTTTCACGCAAATGGAAAGGAAAAGAAAGCTGGGGTAGCAATACTTATATCGGACAAAATACATCTCAAAGTGAAGGCCATAACCAGAGATAAGGAAGGCCACTTCATAATACTAAAGGGATCAATACAACAAGAAGATATAACCCTGGTAAACATATATGCACCCAATGCAGGAGCACCCAAATTCATAAAAAAACTCCTGGAAGATATCAAAGGAGAGATCGACAACAATACAATCATAGTAGGGGACTTTAATACACCACTGACACCACTGGATAAGCCCGCTAGACAAACAATCAGCAAAGAAACAGCAATCCTAAATGACTCACTAGATCAGATGGACTTAATTGACATCTTCAGAACACTTCACCCCAAAGCCATGGAATATACATTCCTCTCAGGTGCTCATGGGACATATTCAAAAATAGACCACATATTGGGTCACAAGCAAAGTCTCCCCAAATTCAAGAAGATTGAAATCATAAAAAGCTTCTTCTCAGACCACGATGGCATAATGTTAGAAATAAACTACAATAAAAACAACCCAAAATACTCAAACACTTGGAAGCTGAATAGCATGTTATTAAATATTGATTGGGTTACCAATGAGATCAAAGAAGAAATTAAAAACATCCTGGACACTAATGACAATGAAAACACAACAATCCAAAACCTATGGGACACAATGAAAGCAGTCCTGAGAGGGAAGTTTATAGCTCTACAGGCCTATCTCAAAAAACAAGAAAAAATGGTAGTAAATCATCTAAATCTACAGCTCAAAGAATTAGAAAGAGAGCAACAAGAAAACCCCAGAGTGAGCAGAAGGAAGGAGATAATAAAGATTAGAGCAGAAATAAATGACATAGAGACCAAAAAAACAATACAGAAAATCAATGAAACCAAGAGCTGGTTCTTTGAAAGGATAAACAAGATTGACAAACCTCTAGCCAGGCTCACCAAGAAGCAAAGAGAGAGGACCCAAATAAACCAAATCAGAAACGATAGAGGCGAAATAACAACAGACCCCACAGAAATACAAATGATTGTTAAACAATACTATGGACAGCTCTACTCCAACAAACTAGACAACCTGGAGGAAATGGACAAATTCCTAGAAAAATACAACATTCCAGCACTCAATCAGGAAGAATCTAAAAATCTCAATAGGCCAATAACTATGGAAGAAATTGAAGCAGTCATCAAAAAGCTCCCAGCAAACAAAAGCCCAGGACCAGATGGCTTCTCAGGGGAGTTTTACCAAACTTTCAAGGAAGAACTAAAACCTATCCTCCTCAGACTACTACAAAAAATTCAGGAGGAAGGAACACTTCCAAGCTCATTCTATGAAGCCAGCATCACCCTAATACCAAAACCAGGTAAAGACAACACAATGAAAGAGAATTACAGGCCAATATCCCTCATGAACATAGATGCCAAAATCCTCAACAAAATCTTAGCAAATCGGATCCAGCAGTACATCAGAAAGATCATACACCATGACCAAGTAGGATTTATTCCAGGGATGCAAGGATGGTACAATATCCGCAAATCAATAAACGTGATACATCACATAAACAAATTGAAAGAAAAAAACCACATGGTCATATCAATTGATGCAGAAAAAGCATTTGACAAAATCCAACACCCATTTTTGATAAAAACTCTCAGCAAGGTGGGAGTAGAAGGATCATACCTCAACTTAATAAAAGCCATATATGACAGGCCCACAGCCAACATCATACTCAATGGACAAAAACTAACACCATTTCCCCTAAGAACAGGAACAAGACAGGGATGCCCACTCTCACCACTCCTGTTCAACATAGTACTGGAAGTATTAGCCATTGCAATTAGGCAAGAAGAAGAAATAAAAGGCATCCAAATTGGAAAAGAGGAAGTAAAACTGTCCTTATTTGCAGATGACATGATATTATACATACAAAACCCTAGAGACTCCATCAAAAAGCTACTAGACTTAATACATGAATTTGGCAATGTAGCAGGATACAAAATTAACCCCAAGAAATCTGAGGCATTTCTATACACCAATAGTGAACTTTCAGAAAGAGAGATTATAAAAACAATCCCATTTACCATCGCACCAAAAAAATTAAGATACCTAGGAATAAACTTAACTAAAGAGGTAAAAGACCTCTACTCAGAAAACTACAGGACGTTGAAAAAAGAGATAGAGGAAGACATAAACAGATGGAAGAACATACCGTGTTCATGGATTGGTAGAATCAACATCATTAAAATGTCCATACTACCCAAAGCAATCTATAAATTCAACGCACTTCCCATTAAAATACCAACGGCATACTTCACAGATCTAGAACGAACTCTCCAAAAATTCATCTGGAATAAAAAAAGACCCCGAATAGCTGCAGCAATCCTGAGAAAGAAGAAAATAGGTGGGATCTCAATACCAGATATCAAGATGTATTACAAAGCCACTGTTCTCAAAACTGCCTGGTACTGGCACAAGAACAGGCATATAGATCAATGGAATAGAATAGAGAACCCAGAAATCGGCCCGAACCAATATGCTCAATTAATATTTGACAAAGGAGGCAAGAACATACAATGGAGCCAAGATAGTCTCTTCAATAAGTGGTGTTGGGAAAATTGGACAGATATATGCAAGAAAATGAAACTAGACCACCAACTTACACCATACACAAAAATAAACTCAAAATGGATAAAGGACTTAAATGTACGACAGGAAACCATAAAAATTCTAGAAGAATTCAAAGGCAACAAAATCTCAGACATATGCCGAAGCAATTTCTTCACTGATACAGCTCCTAGGGCAGTTGAAACTAAAGAGAAAATGAACAAATGGGACTACATCAAAATAAAAAGCTTCTGCACAGCAAAAGAAACCATCAACAAAACAACAAGAAAACCCACTGCGTGGGAAAACATATTTGCCAATGTCATATCTGATAAGGGCCTAATCTCCAAAATTTATAGGGAACTCATACAACTTAACAAAAGGAAGATAAACAATCCAATCAAAAAATGGGCAAAGGATCTAAATAGACACCTTTCAAAAGAGGACATTCAGAAAGCCAAGAGACATATGAAAACATGCTCAAAGTCACTAATCATCCGAGAGATGCAAATCAAAACAACAATGAGGTACCATCTCACACCTGTCAGACTGGCTATCATCAACAAATCAACAAACGACAAGTGCTGGAGAGGATGTGGAGAAAAAGGAACACTCGTGCACTGCTGGTGGGAATGCAGACTGGTGCAGCCACTATGGAAGACAGTATGGAGTTTCCTCAAAAAACAAAACATGGAACTCCCATTTGACCCTGTGATCCCACTTCTAGGAATATATCCCAAGAAACCAGAAACACCAATCAGAAAGGATCTATGCACCCCTATGTTCATAGCAGCACAATTCACCATAGCTAAGATTTGGAAACAGCCTAAGTGCCCATCAGTAGATGAATGGATTAGAAAACTGTGGTACATCTACACGATGGAATACTATGCTGCTGTAAAAAAGAAGGAACTCTTACCATTTGCAACGGCATGGATGGAACTGGAGAGCATTATGCTAAGTGAAATAAGCCAGTCAATGAAGGAAAAATACCACATGATCTCACACATTCATGGATAATAGAGACCATTATAAACTTTTGAACAATAATAGATACAGAGGCAGAGCTGCCTCAAACAGATTGTCAAACTGCAGCGGGAAGGCCGGGGAGGGTTGGGGGACAGGAGGGAAGGGGGTAAGAGATCAACCAAAGGACTTGTATGCATGCATATAAGCATAACCAATGGACATAAGACACTGGGGGGTAGGGGAGGTCAGGGGATTGTCAAGGGCGGGGAAAAAAAGGACACATATGTAATACCCTTTGTAATTCTTTAAGCAATAAAAAAATTAAAAGAAGAATTCTTGCAGAGGTAGAACCTTAAAAGCCTGAGTATTAATTGGACATAAAATTGAGTGGCAAGAATGAGGCATTTAACTAATATTCCTTGTTTGTGGGAATGGGTAGTAACATTTGAACTGAAATAGTGAATATTGAACTAAAGCAGGTTTGAGAAGATGATATGAATTTTATTTTGAGCATACTGGGTTTGAGGTGCTCATAGTCATCATTATGGAACATCCAAGAGGAGTATAAAATGTTTGCTTGGAGCTAGAGGAAAAGTCAAGCCTATAACTGTAAATAAGCTTTGTCTACAGAGGAGTGCAAAGACTAAGTCTCTGGCATTTAATGAGATTATTTTCAGAATGAGAACATTCCAAATATAGGCTAAGGCTTAGACATCACCCTAGGGAATAAAATATTTATAGTCAAAAAGAGAAGAAACCACTGAAGAGGTGGTATTATTAAAGCCGGGTGTTGAGGGGCATTGTAGATGAGAAGTTGGTACATATACTGCGGAGTTAGGATTATAAGTAAGAATATAATTTAATTTACCATTTGGAAGCCCATGGTAACTTTATGGGAGTGTCATTTTAAGGAAACTTGGAAGGGTCAAAGTCAAATTGTACCAAGTGACAAAAAAAGTGGGGGGGGGAAGCAAAGCCATTAAAGGTACAATCATTATTTGAAAGTGTTTAGCATTGAAAGGGAGAAAGGATCCATGCTAACTTGCAGGTGCAACAGAATTGGAAGAAAGAACTCAGAGCAATTTTATATGAATTGAAAACTATTGAAATCACTGAAGAAATCATTGAAAATAGATATTTAAGATAAAAATGTGGAGATAATTAATGAAGATGAAATAGGTAAAAATACTATCAAAGCAAGTTGACAGGTTATCCTCGGGGGGAAAGAACACTCATTTTCCCTCTCAGATATTATTATACTGAACTCATTTAACTTTTTAACAAGGTATTAGAGCCTTAAACAAAGTTATATAAATTGTGTATAGGAAACCAACTATTACGGACTCAGCTGCATGCTATCTGTGACCCACAGTTTGAGCCCAATAAATTGAGTTTTATATTTTCCGAATTGACCCCACTGCCTCAGGCTTGGCTCCTTTTCTTCAAATAACAGTGTATTGGAAAGCCTATTGGACTGTATAGTTGGCTTTCCATTTTATTTTAATACCTTGGAACCAGCTCTGAGGTTGCCTTGAACTCCATAGTCTTCAGGCCATCTAATTCCCCCAGCAAAGATCTCCATGAACCATCTCTGGGTTCACTTTGACTTGGATAAAATAGCGGAGCCTTGGAGTCAATGCTGGAATGAACTATTTGAGAACTGAAGATCAGCATAGGTTCATGAACCTGGGACAAGAATCCCTCTAACTTTGAAATATTGGATTTATTTTTGGAAAGAGATCTAATTAAAAGAGGAAGAGTCTGTCTTCATATCTGTTGAAATCAATGTGATCATGGAACACCCAAGCACAGATATTCTTTAGGAAGTTGGAACTATGGCATTGGTACCCAGATAAGAAGCCTGCGATTTCTTCTCTATTATAAAAATTGACCCTATTATCCACCCCTAAAATCAATTCATATATAT